TTTGAAAGTCAAATTTACTTATGTTTTGACTAAGGCCCCGTCCACACTATGCCGGATAAATTTGAATCCGTAACTTTCACACCGAAACCGAAAAAAACGTTTTCAGTCCACACATGAAAACGGATAAAATGTTTCGCGTCCACACTAGTCCGATCAGAGGCGGCAAAAATGCTTCATTGCACATCTGAGCAAGTGCATCGAAGCTGAAATTGAGGCCGCGTTGAATTTTTAGCCTTTCCGCCATGTTCCCATAACAATCATGACGTCATCGTATTCGAAAAATTTCGGGTACGAAATGTTCTCCGTCCACACTAATACGGCTAGCCGGCGTTTTCAATTGTTCCACTCTGGAGCCGTATTCGAAAAAAATCGTTTTCGGTGAAGAATTGTCCCGGATTCGCCCGGACTAGTGTGGACGGTAGGCTTAACCGAATAAATAAAAATTCGGATTCAAATTTATCGGGCATAGTGTGGACGGGGCCTAATTTGCATACGGATTCAGAGATTGCGCTGACGTTTTTCATTCGTGTCTCGTGGGGCTGTTTTAGGGGACAAAATAGACACCATCTTGAAATATGTGCCCTAAAACAGCCCCACAATGCACTGCAATGCCAACTGGACCCAGTTTTCCCTCAATTTCGAAACGGCTTTTACGTACGTCTTTGTTTATCATTTCCTCTATTTTATTTAAATTTTTTCTGCTTAATCCTTTATATCTTTTAACAAAGGATAACATTCTTTCGAGTAACTTCCTATCACTGCAATATTTCATGACTTAGCAAATTCTTTGACAACAAATCATCATTTTTTCCAGCATAATAATAACACCGTACACTTTCCGAAAAAAATAGATATGACATGAAAATATTTTTAAGCCATGCAAATGAATAAAATATTTGTTTCATGAAAGATTTTGTTAGATTTAAATTATTCGCATTCAAGTTTCTCTCTTTTCACTTATTAGACTCAAAAAAAATAAAAATAATAAATATATAAAAATAAAAATAAAAATGCTTCGAAATGATTTTAACACTAGGCAAAAGTGAATTATTTTAACTTTTAAGTACGCATATATTTTTTCATTGCTGTTTTCGAAAGCGAAAGTAGGTTTACACTGGAAAAGGTAAATCCCCTTCAATACAGGAGGGAAAGATGCTCAAAACCTTTTTACCTTACAAGCAAAAGCCAGCGATCAAACTTACAACTTAAACTGCAAATATAAATGCTGCCCTTCAACAGCCATCATCATTGTTATTTTTCCTGTCACAGCATACGTAATCGGTCACTGTCAAGCATTTAACATGCTTAATCACATACGCACTACCGATTGCGTGACCAAAAACAAGACACGTACAAAAAATTACTAATTAGGGAAATTTCCCTTTGAGACACAAAGCATTGAAACAATATACCTAAATGCACAAAACGACTTTCGTTTAAAGGATGTTTCCTACTTAGTATCACTAGAAAAAGTTCCCTTGCGTGACAAAATTGATTTGAATATTAATTAGGGAAAATTCCCTTTTGAAGCACTGAAAAAATATCGAAACGCGAGGAATTTATAAGTTAAAATGCAATAACAATAATATTAAAACTAAATGAAGCACCAAAGTATTATTTTTTCTATGATCATAAACTTTCGTCTAGTACGTACAACAATTGTCTGAAAAATAGTTATCGCTGCTTTTAATCATGGACATGTTAGCTTATAAGCGATTGCGTGACACAACTATTGAATGAATATTAATTAGGGAAATTTCCCTTCATTGGGAAAACAAACTATGAAAGTAAAATGAAAGTTTTGAGTTTTGCTGATTTTATATGTACTATATAAAAAATATACTACTGTAATTCCGCAGTAAACTTTAAATTTTTTGAAATGTATTTTAATATTTAAATGAATAAAGAAATGAAACTTTTATTTATTTATTTATTTATTTATTTATTTATTATTATTATTATTTTTTTTTTTTCCGCGAAAGAAAGAATTCTAAAGTATCGCGTTAAAAACGTCGCTCATACATACGGGTTCCATGGCCGCGATGAAAAGGGGAATCCCCTAAGTCAAAGCGGCCAGGGGGAACCCCCGTTTCTTACCGCAATTTGATTGGACGAGAGGCAAAGAAACAATCAAAGACAACAGATCTTCCTAAACAGTCGGCAAGCCGAGGCGATCGAAGAACCTACAGAACCTAGTTGCTGTAGTAAGACAATAAATATGGATCTCGGAGACATGGAAAAATTCTTTGAACTACAAAGTCCTTTGACACCGAAGGAAAACGAACAACTCAATGGATTCCCTCTAGATGATGCATGGTTCAGTAAAACTGCGACTTATGATATTTTTGAGGAGATGGAGGAGACACAAAAAGAGTTCATTTGTGGGGCATTTGAAACTACGTCAACTATAAGCACGGCCCCAAACAGTCCTGCAGTGAACGATTACGACACTTTTGAGATCACAGACGAAGAGTTAAGAAACCTTCCCGTAAAACAACTCAACCAAAAGCTCCGTGACCTACCAAAGATCGAGGCTTCTAAATTGAGAAAGCGACGACGAAGCCTGAAGAATCGAGGGTATGCTTTGAACTGTCGCAACAAACGCGTTACCGAGAATGAACAGCTCCAGAAGACAAACATAAAGCTCCGGATAGAAGTTGCAAAAATTAAAGAGGAACTTTCTAAAGCTGTAAGAGAAAGAGATATTTTTAAACAGAAATATGAACGCATCAACAGTGTATTTAGCACTATATGTACCACGTCAGCTATGACTCTAAAAGGCGCCTCAGTATCCAAAAGCTAGGCCTAGCTAGTAATATACGACTCTATATATACGTCCCTGAGTGGTGGGAAAACAAATGCTGTATTTACTGACTTCACATCGCAGTTTTCTTCGCACAAATTTTCGCCAAGCAAAGCTGTGTCGTCGAATTTATTTAAGTCTTAAACCAACGCAATGAATGATCGGAAAGGATCTTAGCAGGAACACAGACCGCGTGACAATATATAATGTCACTTATTGATGACACTGATAAGTGAAAGAATAGTGGGGGATGTTCTTAACTATCATCCCCCCCTAATTGTTTTGCTCATTTAGGTAAGAAATTGTAAATCTATCAGTTTAGAGAGCTTGCCAGTCATCTGTACTTTCAGCTCCGCCGCCCATGTAATCGGACTTCTTTTAAATTGTAACTGGTTTGCCAAGTTTGGTCAGTTTAGACAGACACAAGTATGGCTTCCTGATCACTCGTTAACTCTTATCCGCTGTCGGAGCAAGCGATCCCTCTCATTCTACTTTTTATTGCTTTTCTTCTCTATTCTTCTTTCTTCTTTATTTCTATCTGAAAACAAGGGAACATAATTATTTGACGTCGGTCTGAATGGACTTTCCTTTCCTTTTCTTTCACGTATTTACAGGCCAATTACTACAATACTGATTTTACCAAATTTAGAACGTATAAAGAAATGGAATAAACTCGCTTAAACATATTAGCCATTCCGAGGTTGAGGAAAAAGCTGGGTTGAAGTGGCTTCGCAGTGCATTGTGGGACTCTTTTGAGGACAAATAGACGCCATCTTGGAAATATGTCCCCCAAATCAGTTCCACAATGCAATGCAACGCCAACTCGACCCAGTTTTTTTCTTATCCCCGGAATAGCGCAAAATGGCTATATAATAGCTTGTATAAACTATAAATAGTGTAAATATTTCTAAATTAAGAGGTATGATTTCATGAAAGAATAACTTTGATCCTTGCAATAAGGCATTATGTTTGTTGGAATACAGTACATCGTGGGACTGTTTAAGGTATTATTAAGAATGATCAGTTATTATTTTTTATGATGAAATCATATCATACTCATGGTGTCAAGACGTGAATCTTGAGTTGAGGCGTTTCAGCGCAAATAAACTTCATACAACAATCAAAGTCTTTAATCTTGGCTCAAAGCTTAACTTAACAAGATTTCAGTTTCAATTTACATTACGTTTGCACGTTCACTTATTGGTCACTAAATTTATGTAATTTTTAGAATATTGATTAATAGAAATTACTTATGTCACTTCATACTCTCCTTGATTATAATTCCTGACTTCTCTTGTTTAATCTTGCTCTTCGGTTCTATCCCTTACTTGACTCTTCTTCATCGCTGAGTTTTTTTCTTGTCAGTTCTCTGCTTCCTTCCTTGGTTCTTATACTTAAATCCTTACACAACTTTATGACTTTATGAATACGGGGGTAACCGAGTTAGTTTGCTGGCACACGATGTGAACGCACCCTCTAACGCATGCGTAAAAAGGACTATGCGCGCAAGAAGTGCCGGTGTACGAATGTCTTTAAGCATTTTCGCAACTCAGCTATAAATTAACTCTTATCCGCTCGTAATTTTTCATTTTATTGCCCGGGCTTCCTGTGGAAGAACCCGAGCTGTAAGTCTCAAATGTGCAACGCATGGCATTCACGTCTTACCGCCTACCGCTGGATGCAAAGGTCCGTGGCATACTTAGTGACGTATTACCCCTAATATTTTTTTCCCAAGTATTTTGATATTTAATATTTAAAATTAGGGGATGGTTATCGCCACTGGCGAAATGGTTTCATCATCCAGAACAGCGAGGGAAAGCATTTCTCAATCTTAAACGTTTCACCGAAAATTTGGTTCATCTTACCATCTACCACTAGTGTGGGGAGGGGGGCTGGACATTCAATATGACTATCCCACTCGTTAGCTTTGCCAGTAAGCTGTGCACGCCTGTGTAGTTTGTCTCTGAGTTTCATCAGATCTTTTATCTCGTAGTTTACAATTGGACATGAACATTGTCTGTATCTGATCTTCATGGTCTTGACTGGTGCATTGTTTACCAGAATGCTGTTAAAGTAACTATTGAAATGATCAAGTTTGTAATCAATTCACCTTTTGAGCGACATTGTCCTCGGATTTCCGTACGAATGTACTGACTTTTGAACAAATTATTTACTCGGTTTGTTTAGTTAGCTCTCTAAATACAAACAAAAAAAGTGGAAAAATAAATTGAACTTTTAACCTATTAATTGCCAGGTATGAAAGGGGGAATCACATAAAAGAAGTATTTCAGTCATATTTTCTGTATAATATTTTCTTCTTCTCTCTATAACTTTGCTAATACGCTATTGAAAACTTGATACAATCGGACCTAATCAAGGAGTTTTAGATTTTTATTCCAATTTTTTTTTTTTTGCTGAACATTTTTTGTTGGCTTTATGACACCTCAGTCTTAAAGTGACGTCATTTTGACGTCACTAATTCAGATCAGCTGGTAACAATGAGAGATAATTTCGATTACAAATTGCTCGAAAACTTTCCATTATATTTTTAACCACAAATTAAGTAAATGTTTATTTCTTTAACATTTTGATTCCAATAATGTCATATGCTATAGTAATGGGCTCGTCATCTTTGACTCCTTTGAATCTCCCATTATCCAGCTCTTTGATGCTTTCTTCGATGTCTTCATCCGTGTATTGACGGAAACGCGACCAAAAGCGGTTGCGCATCATTAAGTACCACCTACTTTTGGGAATTCTGAAAGTAGCCTCATCATTGATTACTTCTGTGATGACGTCATAACGGCTTTTGACGTAAGATATTATGACATCAAATAGGCCGTTTAGCTCCATAAGGTGTCGTAACTGGATAGTTGTGAGTGATAAAGATGATAAGGTTTTTTCGTTAAACCACGTATTTAATATAAAGCCAGAACCATTCTTGGGGAGGCAATCGAAGATCTGTCCAAAGGATTTCTGAATGTCGTCGAGATGATGTACTACACCACAAAGTAGCACCTTGTTGAATCGACGCTAAAATAAAATAAAACATGTTAGAGCTGCAAATAACTTCAATACTAAGCGTTTGAGATCACCAACCTGGTTTTCCAATTGATCTTGAACTAAATGATCATAAAACTGCTCTACAGATTCTTTCGCTAGCACAATACCATCCAGTTTGCTTGCATGTTGAATGTATGACGTCACAGACTCCAAAAAATAATCGTACAGATATCATACTTTCGTCTTGAATATCGAGAAAACACTTCATACAGTGATTATTGGACCTTTAAAGAGTATTCTTTGGAAGTTTCAGCTGAATCCAAGTTTGAGCGATTTTCGTCAGAGTAGCACTTTAATGATTCGAATAACGCTCCCTCTGTCACGGTCGGCGACAAACGCAAACTGCAGTAAAATAATATCAGAGAATATGAAGTAAGCTTACTTAATATTCTCTTGCATAGGTTATTACTAACAGGAAACCTAAATTTGTGGCATAGCGTAAAGTCTTGGTCATGTTGTATAAAGAAAAAACCGTTTTAATATACGTGCGTAGTCATCTACCAAAACTGAATCCTACTCACTGTTAAGTCCCTTAGTACCTTACCTTTCTCCATTTTCAGATTAAAAAAGAGAACGATAAGAACGAACAGCAGACATCACAAAACTGGTGAATTCCTTCGTAAGGGCTAAAAAGGTTTGAGCAAGTGAAAATTAAAGACGGGAATTTGAGGGAGTGATGCCGTGCCGGGCACCGATCAACCATCAAAGTTCAAGGTTCGTTGATTTCCATAACTTATTAATCGCCTAGAGAAGTGAATGGAAAGAGATCGATATAAATTGGTATGAAAGGGTGGGGGTAACAAAAAAATGCAGTAAGAATGGCAGATTTCTGTGGTTGTAAGAGTGATTTGCGTCTAGGGACGGTACGAACTTTGAAAATTTCGGTGTACATGCAACAAAGAGTGCCGAGCGAGTTCACTGCTCGTCAACTGATAAAACCAAGGCACACGTCACGGTCACAGCTTCAGTAGAAATTGTGTAAAATTGATTGCTATAAAGCTAAGACTTTAAAGTTTTGGATTGTAACCATCTTGGGGCAGATTGGGAAAGAGAAGAATGAATCATATATGTAGCATACGATAATGATCTTGTAATATCAAAGTATGTAAATTAATTGCTTAACGAAACAAGAAACGGGTTGCCAAGAGAAACTGTCTTACAGTCTACTGATTATGCATTCGGAAGACTAATCACAGAAGTACTTACGTCAGACCACATGCTCAAAATAATATAGGTCAGTTTAAGGATCACTCATCTTTGACGCCGCCGGCATTTTACGGACAAAATTGAATCTTCTCAAAAGTATCGTGGATGTGAGGCTAACATGGAAATACAAAAGAAATCACACTTTTTCTCGATGGAATTTGTGGCATTTCTTTTGTATTCAATGTTAACCTCGCATCCAAGACAATTTCAAGAAAGGTCAATTGCAATCCGTTACTTCGTTACGCATGATTTGCTTCTTATCGACTCTTAAAATAAGCTTTTCGTTGTCTTTCTTCTAACTTCTACTTCTAATGCGTTTACCACTCCTGGGTGGACGGCTTGATGCCTAACAGGCCTTGCGAACCAATTGATAAGGCAGCCGGTTAGCACGAGCACTGGAGATGGTAGTCACCAGCGTCTTCAGTGGATAACGGGACGTAAATTTAGTTAATATGTAATCTATGTTTATGTTTAATCTTACATAGGACGAATCACGGAAGCTAACATGATTATTCTATTTTGCACTGAATAGTACTGCATATTAAAGAACTATGCAGTATTCATAGAGTCATTCTAAAAATATCATTTATGGCGATCGCCGAGAATTCAATCAACATTTTTCAGTTTACAGTATCCACTGCCTGGTTTTTGACATGCCGGTAGCTGTTATATAGTGCCGGTCGATTCAAGTTTCAGTTTACTATGCAGTGGTCGCTTGTATTCACGTAACAACAACATCACCTTTTGCATTGAACTGCACTAGACCCTTAAAACAAGTCAACGCCCTTTTACTCAGCTCTTAAAACAAATTAGTTTTTCTCAAAACACTTTTCGGAACTGTAAGCCTAACCTTAAAATAATAATAAGAATTTTTGATTTCTTGTTTTAAGGATTTTAGTACTTGAATTGCATAGGCTCTCACTTCAAACTTAAAATAAGAAGTACGAACTTAAATCCATAATATCCAGTTACTTCTTCCCATATCTAAGTTCCTTAATTAAAGAGAGTCACTTTAGAGTGATACAGTGGCGGATCTAGGGTTACACCCCTTTTCCTTTTTTTTTTTTTTCACCGGTTTTTTGGGGGGTTTTTTTCCACCTTTTTTTTTGTTTGTTTGTTTTTGTTTTTGTATTTGTTTTTTGTTTGTTTTTGTAAAGTTTGAATTTTTGGATATCAAGAAAAATTTCTTCTGTATATTTTGATTAAAAAGATTACAGAAGTTTTGGGTTGTGTCCTGTTGTTATAGCTTGTTTTTGGCGTCGTACGTCGTATGAACAGCACTCATATAGTAAAGGCAAAGAAGTGGAAAGTCTGCACCCCGTTTTGAAAAATCCTGGATCCGCCACTGTGATATGTGCACCTTCATGATATAATTTTTAGTTCAAATAGCAGTTCATCAGGATTCTTGCATAGAAATGAAAAATATACAACACACACCTTCTATTGCTTTCCTGTTCTGATGCTATAAAGGAATCCATTAGAGTTTTTCCGCACAAGTACCTTACACATGCTAATGTACATTTCTTGACCTTAGGTATGGTAATTCGTTAACAACCAATTGTTTTAGAGTTAGTCGAGATTTTTGCTTAAGGCCCCGTCCACACGTATCTGGAAATTTTTATATCCGCAAATTTTTTTTTGTGGATACGGGTTGCGTCCACACGTGTCCGCAAATTTTTGTATCCGTATCCGCAAATTTTACGAAAACGGATACGTGTGGACGGTGAAAACATTTTCGTATCCGCAAACAATAATTTGCGGATACAAAAATTTCCGGATACGTGTGGACGGGGCCTAAAATGCATAATTTTTTGTAAAGTAGTTTTGACGGTCATCTATATTCATCGTTAAATTACTTCAACTAGGAATAATTAGTTCCAATGTTGATGGATTTTCGTTCAAGTGCTCTACTAACACAAAGTGTTATTTATACAAATTGTTGCACTTCACCCTTATTCAACTGACAGATTTCAACTGCTCCTTCGTTGTTCTTAGACTGAGGTGAAAAATAGTGAGTAAATCCTAAGTGTGTGCGAGGGGAAAAGGGATTGTCGCATGTGTTGCATCTATCAGCCACTTCATTGAATCCATAAAAAGTCCGTGTAATCATTCACTGACTATCATTTGAAGCCAGGATTCCTACGACACGAGAACTGCCTGATTCCTTCATCACCAGGACTACGTATGTATGCCTGAACTAGTATTGCTTTCAACTTCTCGGTATTATATTTATAGCGATGTTAATATTTTCGTTGTATCATAATGCAACTAAAGTTGCCTTGCTGTTTAATATCTCATTTGGTTCATTTGAGGTCTGTATAACTGTTGATCATGGCAATGTTGTTCTACGCGCTTTTGCTGTGGCTCGGCTCTCGGTCTGTAGATGCAAGAATTGATTTTGTCGGCTCTATTCAACCCCTAACCTACACTAGTTGGGGCTCCTGGGGCCATGAAGACTGGTGCACGGAAGGTTCCTACGCCTACGGTTTTACTCAGTCTCAAGGTTGAAGGAAATCGGGGCAAGGGAGATGACACAGCACTCAATGGAATCAAGCTGCATTGCAGGTTAGCCTTTGTGATGTCTTGTCTTTCCTTTAGTATTTCGCCCAAATTTGAATACGTCCTTCTAAAATCATCCGTTCCGCTTTATATTTTTGCTCGTTACTTTGTCACTCAGCGAGCATTCTCCTTTTTCTCTTTATCGTTGTTGTTTTACTTCTCCTCCTTCTCCTCCTTCTCCTCCTCTTTCACCTCCTCTTTCTCCTCCTCCTCCTTCTTGTCGTTTCGTTGCTGTTCTACTTCTTGTTCTCGTTTTATTTCTCGTTCTCCTTTTCCTCTCCTTTCTCCTTTCTCCTCCTTTTTCTTTTTTTCCCCTTGTGCTCCTTGTCTTTTTCTTTTTCTTTCTACTTCTCTTTTTATTTTTCATTTTACTCTTTCTAGAAATATTAGAAATTATTTTTTTAGATTTGATGCTGCTTCAACTAAAACGGCTTTTTTTCAGAACCTACTGTGGGTCACATTCCAATAGCGTCACATCCAGCGTTGCTCCATGGGGAAACTGGCGATCGACAAAGAATTGCCCTGCTCATTATTTTCTGAAAGGAGCTTCGGTCAGATCTGAGCCCTCACGAGGGAAGGTAGATGACACAGCAGGTGACTGTATTAAAGCCGCTCTCTCTCTCTCTCTCTCTCTCTCTCTCTCTCTCTCTCTCTGTCAAATTAATTTTTCGTACTTTTAACATTCGTCAAGTCTAAATACTAAAACAAACTCGATATGTGCTTCAAACGTAATTTGATTGATTGTTTTGACTTTTTACAGTGAATAACTATAATTTTCTCTGCGAACATTCGGGATTCATAAGGCAAACTTACCCCCTAGACGGGGATGGCATGCCCTGGGGTTCATGGACTGGCCGAAAAGACTGCCCCACTGGTTCGTACATTTGTGGTCTCAAAACTCAAGTGGAGCCAGCGCTAGGAAGTCACAAAGATGATACTGCTCTTAATGACGCCGTGTTCTACTGCTGCAGATTGATAAAAACGAGCTGGTTTGTTAGATAGACTTATGGTCATTTTATACTTAATCGTGTTCTTATTAAAGTGTAATGGTGGTCGATGATAACATTTCGAGGTGATCTTTGAAGTGAAGTTTGTAATTGATGGTGGTGACGTTGATGTCATCATGATGACAACGATGTAGGGTTACTGAGTAATGTTACTTTACAAGCTGGAAAAATCTGCCCTCTTGCATTCCTTATTAACTGATATATCTTTACTTTGTTGCAGCTCTGGTCGGCGCTAAAATCACCAGAAAGATTAGTTTATCCMAGAACACAGGACAAACCAGACAAAACTAAATGAACCTATTTAGATCAGGCATTAAATTTACCAAATGAATAAAAACCTAAATAAAAGAAGATGGTCAATTTTTAACAATAAATAGTGAAAATATGTGACGTAAATTAAAGGGAAAGTTAAAAATTGTAAGAAAACACACTTGTCCAACTAAATAAATACCAGATGCAGTCTACGCCTTCTTTCTCAGTTTCTTACTTCAGTAAAATGAATGAACAAAACAGGTATGATTTCTTTGAACTGAACCTCGCGACTGATTTTCCCGGCATTATAATATTGCAGATGTCCTGCGTTGCATTGTTAACTGGATTTGAATAACATCACTGATACACATAATGCTACTAAATGTTGAGCTAAAACTTTACCATCAGAAAATTTACATATAATCAGTTTCCACATCGTGATTGTTTGACTTTGTAAATATACATGGTCCCATAGTTAGTTGTGTCTATTTCCATAATCAGATAAATAATATTCAAGGGAATTTCTGGGGGGAAAAATATAGCAAAAAAGATTACGTCCGATCTGAATGTATTTCTAATTAAGTTGAAAAGAGCCAAAGTTCGTTTAAATCGGATTTGCTTATTCGATACCGATACCTTATTAATGTCGACTCTGTGGTTGGATGTGCTGGTGTGAAGTACCACTCTAGTTTGGTGGAGTACCTGAGAAAAAGCAGCCTTGGAAGAATAGAGGAACTCACGAGCTTTACCTTAATTTTTTACCATGAAGCTCCAATTATGCAGTAGATGTCTGAGAATCTGTCCAGGACCAAAACATGGACAACAGCTAACGCAATAACCTGTAAGTATTCGGAAACCTATTTTTTTCTATTTACGGCTATTTCAAAAAACGTTGGTGAAGGTTTTGTTGCATATGCATAATGCTTACAAATGCATATATATGCATGTGTAAATAATGTCAACACAGAAGAAATCATGCCGGAAAAACGTGCCGACAAAGTTAAGGGAACTTTATATCGTTTATGAGCTATTGCTGCATAAACATCATCCGTAGAAGTGCAATTTGGGTTTGGTATGCAACATAAAACAAAACCTTCATCAACCTTTTTGAAAAAGCTGTATACTCCTTTTCACTTCCCAATAAAACATTATTGTGGTTTGGAAGAGTAACCATGGAAGAACGTAAGGTTAAAGTCCCCCCGTCAAAATCTGACGACCTTTAATGATTCAGTTGCACAGTGAACTGACCGTCATATCCTATGACATGATTGTGAATGTAATTCCGTTACTGATTAACTTGGGGACACGGGTGCTGTAACTACATTTCAAGCGCTTAGTTCATCGTAAGTCGATACACTTTTTATAATACTAACTCCCTTGAAGTTCTGAATGGGCCAAACAAACTCACATCGTGAACTGATATTCAGTATTTTTTCTGATAACAGTAGAAATAAAGAACATCTGATTAAAAAATACTCCCTACGAAAGCAAAGCATTATGGGAAATGGGAAATGACCTGAGAGTGAACTAAAAAGTACAAAATAACTGGAACATTTTGCACTCCATCTCAAGCACAGGAAAAACATTCGTTAAATAAAATCCTCCGATTATGTTCCAAAACGGCTTGTGTTCAAATTCGTGATTGTCACTATAGTTTTGCTCATTAGTTGATAATTTAGAATGCATGCATTTGTTCACGTATACATCCTAAAAACCGTTCACTAGGGGAAACCAAGCTACTTACTGGAAATGGACTCTTTCACGAATTCTTTCGCGTTCAAACTCGTCGATTTTTCTACGACGGAACTAGGGCTTGTCTCGGGCTTTATAAGGTGCACTTTAAGAATGGTAATGAGTGTGTGGGAATGATGGCTCCATCGGTTAATGGCTGCAGAGGAACAACGAAAGCAAATGACCATCCTGTCGTTAATTCTCAGAAGAGCCCTCAAAATCCCACCCCAGGGTTTTCTACTTTTTGATTTCCTCTATGGTCTGTGTGCAAAATATTCTCCTTAGCAGCCGTTTTCAGTCTCGTTCCATTATCCCTTTGTGGGGAGGGGAGTGGACCGTAGGGGAATGGAACGAGACTAAAAATGGCTACAAAGGGAATTATGTATAAAATCGAAATTGAAAACAAGCCCACAATTCGATTCCAAAACAAATAGCACTTTGATGTTCATCAGTCTTGTCTGTTTTCATTCTTTAACACTTTGAAAGGGGTACTTGGATGAAATTGGAAACGACTTGAAACTTGGTTAAGCTTATCTATATAGCCCCAATAGTAGCCAAGCAACAAATTTCCTTCTCCGTTAAAAGTGGCGGACAAAAATTATCAATTATTGTAGAATCTAAATTATGAGTAAATGATGTCATTTTCTCAACCCTATTGTTCTTTTAGCTTTTAAACCAACATTTCTTGTTGTTAACTTGCTTAAAATGCAGAAGTTTTTGTAAAGTAGTTTTTGACGGTCATATGTATTATTCATCGTTAAATTACTTCAACTAGGAATAATCAGTTTCCAATGTTGATGGATTTTCGTTCAAGTGCTCCTTTAACACAAAGTGTTATTTATACAAATTGTTGCACTACACCCTTATTCGACTGACAGATCTCGACTGCTCCTTCGTTGTTCTTAGACTGAGGTGAAAAATCGTGAGTAAATCCTAAGTGTGTGCAAGGGGAGAAGGGATGGGGCGGGAGGGGGCCCAAGGGTTTCAATAGAAAGAATCATAAACGTTCCTAGATCCCCCTGTGCGCGTTTTACTTAAGAGTTCGGCTCAGATTACATCAGTATCACAGGTTACAGGTTGTATTTCTTCTTGTCATTCGTCCGTTTCATGTATGTTTTCTTGTTGTCGCTGGTGTTGCATCTATCAGCCACTTCAATGAATCCATAAAACGTCCGTGTAATCATTCACTGACTATCATTTGAAGCCAGGATTCCTACGACACGAGAACTGCCTGATTCCTTTAACACGAGGACTACCTGAACTAGTATTGCTTTCAACTTCTCGGTATTATATTTATAGCGATGTTAATATTTGCGTCATACCATAGTGCAGCTAACGTGGCTATTCAAAGTTGCTGCTTAATATCTCATTCGGTTCGTTTCAGGTCTATATAACTCTTGATCATGGCAATGTTGTTCTACGCCCTTTTGCTGTGCCTCGCCTCGTGGTCTGTAGATGCAAGAAGTGATTATGTAGGTTCTATCCAACCCCACACCTACACTAGCTGGGGCTCCTGGGGCCATGAAGACTGGTGCACGGAAGGTTCCTACGCTTACGGTTTTACTCTCAACGTTGAAGGACAACAGGGTAAGGGAGATGACACGGCACTCAATGGAATCAAGCTGCATTGCAGGTTAGCCTTTGTGGTGTATTTTTTCCTTTAGTATTTCGCCCAAATTTGAATACGATCTTCCAATTCAAAATCATCCTTTCCGCTTTATATTTTTGCTCGTTACTTTGTCACTCAGCGAGCAAAACCATTCTCGTTCTCCTCCTCCTCCTCCTCCTCCTTCTCCTTCTTGTTTTTGTGATTCTCCTCCTCCTCCTCCTCCTCCTCCTCCTC